AATGCTCATCAGTGTGAGATTTTTAAATATTTCATGTATTTATGGAGGTCTAAAATACAAAAAGAAAGATGGCAAGAAAATAAAGCAGCAGAAGGAGGCACTTGTGGAACATTTTTTGAAGATTTTCACCCTTGGATAAGCAGATGTTATAAAGTGATCATTTATCACATTGAATGTTCTTCCTTTCAGCCAAGGAGTATTGCAAAGTGATATTTCCATATGAAGCACAGAATGATGATGAACTCACAATCCGAGAAGGTGATGTCGTCACACTTATCAGTAAGGTAAAAGCAATGTTTTTTTCCTGTAAGCAGGGATCTGGTATTTAACATCAGAATCATTCGATTGCTGTAAAATCCCTATTTGAGCCTTTGGCAGTGTCCTGTCTAAAACAATGTTAGTTTGACACTGAAACACTACATAAACTTCAGACCTACATCTCCCTTCTTTTTGTGCTTTAGGGCCTTACCTTGATGATGTTAAGTGAACAGTAGGCATGTACCCTTGAGTTTACAAGTTCATACAATTAATTTTCATTTGAATCTGCTGGCAGATCTCCATACATAAACTGTAAATCCATCCCTGTATCAGAAATAAAAGCTAGAGAATAAACGGAAAGGCTCATGAAAGCAGGAGCTTTGAACATCTCTGTTAGGTGTGTGAGTTATCTTTCTTGTAGGAATTATGAATTACATTTTTTGGATTAGATGGAGATAATGTGCCTATATTAGCTTAATGAGCTGAACGCTTATTTAGAACGTAGCCACCCTACCACTATGGTAAAACAGAAAAAGATGATAAAACAAATCATTTTAGATCTGTGTCCTTTTCTTTAAAAGTACTTGAAATTATTCAAGATTAGAAATGAAACACCAGTCCCAGGATTTATACTATATCTACAAAAACTGTAGAGTAAGATGGTGAGTAAACAGTTGGCTTTCTTTTTAGAAGAGCTGTGCACCATGTTACAAAGAACAGATGATAGTTTAGATGCACCTTATTTCCTGCTCTTGTTTGAAGACTTTGGGGTTTGTTTAAATATTTTTGACTGCTGGACATAAGTATTTGGGAAAAAAAAAAGCTACAAACTAGAAAAGGCCATGGCTTTTGCATTACGAAAATGAATTGTAATGATGTGCACAATAGTGCTGCTGTTGTTTGTGCTTATATGAAAGTGAAAGAATGAATTCTATGATTGATAAGTTTCATAAGAAATTGTTGTTTGACTGATCATTTTGTTACATGGGCAGAAAACCCCAAAAACCTGGAGAAGTTCATCTGGGGCAGTGTTTGCTATATGCTAAGCCATTTGCAATCCTAGAGGACATCTTTGTCCTGAAGAATATACACGTAACCAAGGAAAAGTAACCAGATGTTTGGTAGGAAGAGAAACTGCAAATTTTAAAAATAAATTGTGTACATTGAATACCATACAATAACTTGCCCTCCATGATTTTTTGTTTAGCTTGCCTTGAAAATAGTTTAGCTTTGCCTTATTCAGAATGTTCTTGTGTGAGTATTTAAGAGTGTCTCTGATCATGGAAATGATATTGTTCCTGTCCAGTTCACGCTGTATTGACCAGGTTGATTTAACTCTTTGAGACAGCTAGTCTCCAGATGAAGCTGTGTTCTTCAATATACACAGACAAAGAGACTATGACTTTACTGAGGTTTTGATATGAGGTTTCATGTACTTGCTTTTTCCCATTTTTTTCTTCTTCCTGCTGCTCTGCCCCCACAATGAAAGGATATTTGTCTTTTATAATAACTGAGCTGATAATTTGACTGAATTGATCAGATTTCACAATCATGCAGTGAGAAGTTTGTCTGTATAGTTTCTAGTATATCCCCTTGTCCTTCTGTTCTCCAGCGTGATGTTATCAAGCCACTGCAGATATTTTACTCAATTTTCTTCTTTTTTTCTGTGGTATGTCACATGTCTATGAACAATTACATAAAACCATGCCTCTAGAGTGGGGGATCTCAATGAATAAAAGGCTTGGCATTTCTCCATGAATGTTTTTTTATGCTGTGTCTGAACTAATCCGAGATACTGAATAAACAGTGCTTAAAAACTAGGCACTTTGCAGTTCCTTTTGTAGTTTGCAGACCTCATTGCAGTCAGATTTGTGGGGTTTTTTCATCCAGTTTTAATACAGTTAAAAAAAATTAAATTCAAGTCATGTGAAGTCAAGGTCCTTGATGTAGAGTTCTGAAAACAGTGGGATCTCCTCTATGCTCTACCATGCAACATAGTTACTTTATTTTAGTCCAAATCTTCTGAATTAGGTGTCTGTTGACATCTTTCTTTTAGTCAGCATTAACAGTCAGCCTCACCTTTCTGCCCGCCAATGGCTCCTGCTAGAGAGTTAACTTTTACCTGGAATTGAAATCACCATGCTTAGAGAGTCCTTTCCATGACCAGTGATCCATACCGAGTGAGGGGAATTAAATGGAAATGTATGGAGTACTTCAGAAGCTATTACCATGGTTTTGCTTTGTTATCAGTTTACAGGGTGTCTTTTAATCAATTTGCAGGAAATTGTTTTGCAGGGCTTGCTTTCCATGCTGGAGAGCGTTAGTCAGAATTTATTCTTCCCAGTTACCTAGACCCAAGGAGAGAGGACTGTTGCTTTTAAAGAAAGCAGTGGATGTCAAAGTACTTCCCACAACCACAGATGCATTATCATATATGCATTCTGTTGAAATCACTAAAATCAGAAAGTATATAAATTGTCAGTATGAAAAGTCCCTCACTAGGCTGATTATTTTCACACAGTTGGATTTATAGGAATTTTGAAGACTCACGATTTTAACTTGAACTGAATTTTCATTAGTGAGAATGTATGGAAGTGGCTGAACTAATGAATGAGTAATACAAGAGTAGGAGAGAAATGTCATGAAAGTAATGCAAAATGCATTGTAATAATCTTAAAATGAAGATGAGATAGCACTTGATAGGTGCTGTGAGGAAGGGGAATGATTTAAATGGGCTAAATCAGAAGTTACTAGGAGAGCCTGTGTATTTGTGCATGCACATGTGAGAATTTGTGTGTGAGGAAGCTGTTAGTCTGGTATTTATCCTAAAATGCTAAAACTTTTTTTTGTGGACAGAACTACTAAGGAGTAGTCTCAGTAAATGCAGAATTCAAAACCACCTTTGTAACCATGCCCCTGCAGATAAAAGGGATAAGATTATATCAGATTTCTGTCTTTTCCAGCTAAATTAGTTACAAAATTCCCTTTGTCGTGACTATCAAATATATACCTAATATAAAGAACAAATGAACATTTTTTTGTCATGGCCTTTGCAGAATCTGTTTCAAGTTCTCACACTCTTTTGATGGATGTTGAGATCTTGAATCAAAAGCTGATCAGATGTTTCTTATAGTCTTCTCTGATGAGGGAATTTGAATATCTGAGTTTTTATGAAATAGCCAAAGGATACTTTGAATAGATTTGCTGAATCACAGTTGGTTTTCCTAGTCACTTGGAGAATGTGCTAATAAGGTTTTTTTTGATCACTGAAGTGGATCAGTGGGGGCTGATCATTTACTGGTCAGAACTGGTCAGTATCATAGGTTAAAATTTACCTGAAAGACTAGAAGAAGAGCAGAAATTAAGTTCACATAGATGTATTCCAAAATTTCTGGAAAAAGTTTTTCTCTCCTGCTTTTCCCCAGTGAAGCAAATACCCTTGTACATACGCAGAAAAGGTTTTATTTATTTATTACTGAAAATTAAAGTGGACAAATGGTAGCCCTTTAATTTCTTCATGCAAAATATTTAAAGATAAAAGACCAGAAAACATTGCTCAGAATTGTAAAAGAAGGTAAAAGCTTCATCTTCAAGGCAATGAACCAGGAAACTTGGTACCTTTGCTTTGCAAAAAGGGGTCTAAGAAAAATACACGTTTGGAAGGAAGAGAACAAAAAACAAAATACAGTGGTTTTACTTGTTCAGTTAAGGTGATTGTTGTGCAATTTGATGATAAAATATGTTGATAAGCCGAAAAGATGTGAATGGCAAGAGGCCGTGAGATTGACCCTGTAGGTTATTCGTTGTAATGTCAAACAGTTGTGTTCCTTAGGTAAATATTTTACTGTTTTCAGAATGTTCCTGACAGCATTTGGATAAGGACAAGAACACTGCTAGTGGCTGCGCTGTGCAGGGAGTGGCAAACAGATCTTTTGTCATGTTCAAATATTGATTTTGGAGATCGTATTTGTAATAGAGTTGCTTTAAAGCAGTAGAAGATTCACGTGACATTTTCAACTGTCATCTTGAAATCTTAGGATTTTTCTTCCCAGCACTTTCAGACATAGCTAACTGTAGGTCCCAGTGTTAATAAAGACTTTTTATGCAAACACTACACATTTCTTAGTAACTCTAATAAATTCTGAAAAATGCTTAGGAATCTGGAGATTTCACTGGCATACAGGAAATGACCTGTGTGAGGAATTGATAATAATAGCTAAATAATTTCAAAGCAAATACATCAAGCACACACTGGCAGCTGTGTGCTCATTTGAGAGCAGTTTTACTTGCACAAGCGGGAAGATTTCATTGAGCTGTTTTCATTCATCAGTGTACCTGAGCTCTAGGCAGTAAAGATAACTTTGTTCCCAGGAATGGAAATGGTCTGGATAAATAAAATTAAGTAAGTACTTCAAAAATCATGGCAAGTTGGAAAAGTTGACGGTAATAGAAGAGTATCCTCACCTGAACCCTTAATGTTGGAGTAGGAGTTGTAGAGGGCAATATCAATGACAGTTCTGCTAATTCTGAATTTACAAGATGTTGAAATTAATAGATGTCAATATATTAGCTGGGAAAATAATCTTGTGCCATACTCCATTTGCATACTCCATCTGACTTCTCCCTCAGTCTCCACCTACCTGGATTGCTAAACCTTTCTTCTCATGCTAAAGGATAACAGTGAAATATGTGGCATTAGTGGTAGGAACGTGTTGCGCTGAACTGATGGATGAACATGATAGGAGGTCCTTTCTGATTTTGCAAAGCAGCTTTCATGGGGAGGCAAGTTTCATGGAGGGCGCCCAGCCTCCTTGTGGATTCATCAAAAATGTATGAAGGATTAATGGGGTGAAAAAGAACAGAACAGTCACATACAGCCTCCTAGACTCTTGCTGGTGCTTTTCAGATGGTACTGGGAAAGTTGGTGCACTGGTATGATGAAAGACACAACAGTGTAATGCCTGTCAGTACTGAAAGACATGACAAATTATTGGTATAGATATTTAATGACAATCCAGATATTTCA